CAATCAATCAATCAATCAATCAAACCCCTTTTTTGAAGTTTTTTCTTTATTTATTTTCAAAATATGCATCTGCATTTTTTTTAAACACCTCATACAGCTAGACTTTCTTTTCTCCTTGCCGACCTTGAGAACGGGTCTTTTCCCATTTTCTCCTCTGCCTCTCCGATTTCCCTGATGAGGGACCTCTCCTTCCAGTTGAGGTTCGCCATTTTCATCCTTGAGAAAACCTTTAAGGCAGCCTGTACTATTCCCAGTCGCACTTTCAAATAAGTCCTTAGCTTTTGATCATGCTTTCATTTGGTCAGCCTAAAGGGTGGCATGCATCTGTCAATGATGCCCTTGGATATGATATCCATTAGGACAGGGTAATGGTCAGAAAGGGAAGAGACAAAATAGTCTGACCATATGCATCTATCCCAAGCTGCACACCTAGCCAGAATGAAGTCTAGGCTCTTGCGAGGTTGCGGGGCATTGGATGCTGGGTTAGGCCCATACCATGTATAACCGTTAGAGTCCGGGTTCATGGTCCTGTACACATCCGTCAGTCCTTGGGATTCCACTACTTCGAGTAGCCTTATTGTATCTTCTCTCAATGGTTTTGGAGAAGGTGTGTCCAACCCTGGACTAAGGACTGTGATCCAGTCACCCATAATTATCAAATTTTCCACATCCGGTATATATGCCGGGAGGTCTGTAAAGAACTTTGTTCTTTCTTTATAGTTCACCGGAGCATACACGATCATTACCGCCTAGTCCTCTTGGTCCACTGCCAATTTTACCCAGGCCCAACGCCCTTCTTGATCTGCATACTGATCTAGAACGTCTACTTCTAAATCTTTATTAATTAAGATGCATACCCCACCGTTGGTCCCATCAGCCGGGGACCAAACTTGTGGGCCTTTGCATCTTTTCTGAAAATCTTGAAGTCTGTCTGCGTGGAGCTTCGTTTCTTGTAGGCAAATAATATGGACTCCCTGGTTGTGTATCCATACACTCAATCTTGAGTTCTTTTCTCTCTCCATAGTGTCGCCCAGTCCTCTAAAGTTCCAACTGGCCAGTCAAATCTTATTCGGAAGGACCATTTGCGTGGTCGATTCCGCTGGTTTGTTGGATTCGGGAGGAAGCCTCATTCGAGGGGGGGGCACACAGTGCAATTAGATGGCTACGAAAGTTCTCTGAAGTAAGGACAGACCTTGCGTCTCCCTTAGCCAACCATTTCGCTGCTTCCATTGCGGTAAGGCTCCCTGCTAACCTGATTTCACTCGCTGAATTGTTCTCAGTTGACAGCAAGTCAGACAGCGGAGCCCAATGAGCTCTCAACACCACTTACAAAAGCCGTATGTCAATGACACGATTCCCAGTATCACACAGTATAACGCCACTTTTGAATCATCTACCTGATTCACTATGTGGCGACCCATTTTAAGATCTCGCAATGCTCCACATTTGAAGGTATGGTTAACTACCTGGTCAGCTGTAAGTACCAGGATTTGCTCCTCCGACGGAGGAGCTGCTACCCGGATCGAGGGCAGTTCCAGCGAGTCGTCCTTCTTCCATGTCATATACGCCAGACCCTGTGGAGTGTCTGAAATAATTAGCGGGACCAAGTACTGTGGGATCGAGCCTTTTTTCCTGTCCGCTCTTGTAAACGTTGTCATTGGTTGCGCACTGGAAGGCGGGATTTTACCTGCCGTACCCCTTTTCTTGGATCTCCCCTCGTCTGTTAGAACTAACGGACCTCTTTCGTCATGCCCATTTCTCCCATAGCAAATTTCGTCATTTCATTAGAACGCAGCACTTTTGCGGGGGAGCTAAAAACTGGGCTTAGTTGGTTCGAGTCAAATGAGAACTTGCCTCCCTTGATTATTCCAGGCACTGCAAATTCCAGCACCAGGGACTGAAGGTCTGGGTAAAAATAGTCCCTGTTTAGGTCCAGCTCACCAACCATATCCTTGTTATTCCTGTTTTCCCCCTGCGAACAGAACTGGGCGGGGGCCTTCGGTTCCTTCAGTATCTGGCCCGATTGGCCCTGTTGACTTATGGACTGGCTAGCCTTCTCCTCCTTCCCATCTTCAAACAGTTTGTTGATGCCCAAGTCTGGGTCGGAGCTCGGAGAGGGAGGTATTGAACCGGGACTGGGGTAGGTGGGGTCCAGACCCTGGTCACCACTCCCCTTGTCTTCCATCTGTCCCGTTTCCCCCTTCCCCTTCCCCTGCTTCCCTTCCCCTTCCTTCGAACCTTCCCTGGGCACGAGGTCAAGAGGTTCTGTTAGAACATCGTCAACTTTTTCCATTTCCACATTCCTGTTTAGCTCTTTCTCTGCCTGTTCTTCTCGGGAACCTGTTCCCTCGTCTCCTCCATCTCATGATGTTCCTTTTGTTTTTCTCCTTTCCCGTCGAGCAGCGATTTCGTCAAAACGGACATTTTATATTTTTTGAACGAAATTGCAATTGACATTTTCATGGTCATTTTGGGTCAAATCTGCATTTGAAATTTGAGGTTTGGGGTACGGGTGTCCACGTTAGGGGTAAGGGGTAAGGGGTAAGGGGTAAGGGGTGGGATAAGGGATAAGGGGTAAATGGCAAGGGGTAAGGGGTAAGAGTATGGAGCAATGTTTGCCACCTTCTATACACTGTTTCCGTCACAAACAATTTCATGTTGAAAGTACCTATGGTACCAGTTCATATTTGGTTACCTGAAGCTCATGTAGAAGCACCCACCGCTGGATCTGTTATCTTAGCGGGAATTCTCTTAAAATTGGGAACTTTTACCCACATCCGTCCGCATGTAATCATAATATCCAATAACAGGTACATACTACTCACGAGCCACAGTGTCCAAAGTCAGTCGAGGATGTATTGCGGGTATGCCATCATCGGTGAAAGAGAAAGGCGGAAGGTGACCCCTTGCCAAGAGCGATGCGTATGTGAGCATGAAGACCCCGCATGAGTTCGTGTCACGTTGTTTCGGGACGCCCTCTACGTTCCATATGTGATTGAATGGTTTTGTGTCCACCTCTTTGCCTTGCTCAATCAATCTTTCGAATAGAAACTTCGCAAATCCGCCGGTCACTTTTCTTGCCAGTTCCATGTCGGGGCTGAGGGAGTCATAAAATTCAAATTTCCTCCTTCTGAAGTCAGTCACAACGAGGGTCCAGTGGTTAATGTGTGCGATATGGAAAGGGGCAATGATCAAGTCCATGTCACTTTTTATAACGTCTTTCGACGAATGTTGCACCTCTCGCTCTCGATACCTCATTTCGCTGTTGAAAAGTTTGGTGAAGAAAAATGAGCTCACCACTTATATTCTAGGAATGTGACCCTTTCCTGTTCTAATCACGGTTTCATTCTCTGCGGCGGAGCCTTCTGCCACCAACCGTTTCATGGCATTGGCGGTATGCTGACCACAGACAGCGTACCAATCAAACTCTGCAGAGTCCCTTTGGCAGAACTCGTCTGGCGTGATTCGCCTTCCCTGTCCGCCGACAATGTCGTCCGGGTCAACTAGTGCAAGAATGAGTTCAGGTCTATCCCGCGTCCCCGGGTCGGCAGTGATGGAGCTTTCGATGACATTCTCGATGCCTCTTACAATGTTCTAAGACAACGAGCGGTGGTTATAAAGAATATTCCCAGGGGGAATGCGTTTGATTCTTGTGACATCGACGTTAACAACATGCCATGATGGACGTGTTGCTTGACAAAGTCGTGCTCGTCGTATTCAAGAAAAAAACAGTGCGTCATGTCGAGGGGCGCGGCATGCTGAACCGGGTCGTCAACACCTTCGGGCATGCGAGGCCCCACCCCCTCGCACTCATCCCCCGAGTCCCGCAGTTCATGTGGCCTGACCCTCTGCGAGTCTTTCCTACCGCCGTCACGGCCGCCGCCACGACTGCCAGTTTGCCCCCCCCCCACCAGTTTTCCGAGGAGCCCGCATTTCCTGGGATGTCGTCAACGCTCCGCGAGCCTCATTGACGGCGTCAATCCTCGCTTGTTTCGTTTGACTCATTGGAGAGATCGACGCTTCTCCCCTCTTTCTCTTTCCCCGTGAGCCATGTTTGTTTCTCTCATCCTTTGAATGATTATGCGACTGCGACGCTCCATGAGAGGTTGCAGGCTGACCATCAACGTCGCCCGCATCACCAACATCGTAGGCGTCATCCCCACGACAAGCCCGTGTTTCGTTGACGTTGCGCCGACGCTCGCATTGGTAGAAGCGATTGTCTTCGACTTCCTCACCACCAACGTATCTGTCGTTATCCACGTCATTGTCTTCACAATCCACATCTCCTTCATTGCCCCCGTCGTCCTCCTCACCACCATCCTCCCCCTCTTGACCCTCGCATTCCTCCTCATCGAAGGCACCTGCACCTCCCTCGGAACGATGTTGGGGACTAGCCCGGTGGCGCAGAGCTCTGTCGTCGTAGTCTGTGGCCTCGCTGGACTGCTCGGCCGCATCCTGACCTTGCCGATGCGAGGACGAGACCGGAGCGGAAAGAGCCTAGGCAAACGCATTCAAGTTCGACGAAGTGCGGCGAGTCGACAATTGCTTCCTCTTTGCACGAGGTGTGGCCGGCGGATCTTGGCGCCGTTTGGGACCCGCGTCAATGGGCACGAAAGCATAGTCCACTTGCTGGGCAACAGACACCTTCGTGAATTGTTCCTTATATCACATTGCAACACCTGCCTGTTGGTCCGTCGGGATGTTGAACTGAACCAACGGGCTGCTGAGCAGGAAAGCACTGTCGACGACGGGCAGGGAGCCAGTGACGTGGCAACCGTTGGTTTTGGAGATGAACTTTTATGGATCCAACATTCGGAACTACGTGCCGTCGCCACGCATGTCAAACGCTTTCATCGAGAAAGCCTTGACATTGTAGTCTTGGAAGAGACGAAGGTCAAGAGACACCTTCTTGTCTTCCTTGACCCTGTTTTTCCCCTCGCTGTCGTAGACAGAGATAAGAAAGAACGTCCTAGACTTCCTATCGTCGTAGTTAGCCCTCCCTGATTCAGATTTCTCAACCCCTCCGCAACAACACCAATTTTCGCCATTGTCATCGCTCAAGAAGACAACGGCTCCATAACCGGATGTATGAAGACCACCAACCCAGTCAAGAGCCCAGGGTTTGTCGTTGTAGAGCTTAGACATGTCGTACGCACGTTTCTCAGGGACGGAGGTTGAAGTAGATTTTCCTGAAGGGAGGCACGACAAAAAAAAGACAACACGTGAACGCAATTGAGTGACACAAAGAAGCACTTGTTGCCTGAAGACCACAACACAGACACGGGCCCCCTTTGGCTATTCGTGGACCCCGAGAACGCCGGACTCCATGCACACGGGGTAGGGGTTCTGGCGTTTCGGATCCGCTGGACCCACTCCCCCGATGAATGCAAGGGGTTTGCCGGATCCAGACCGCCGGACCGCCTTGCCCGAGGCGGCGTGGGGGCTTGCCGTTCGGGGAACGCCGGATCCCCTCGCCCGCGACGGGATGGGGGTCCGGCGTTCCGAGAACGTTGGACCCTAGTATCTCTATCGGGCATGGGGGTCCAACGTTCTCGGAACGCTGGACCCCATCTCTAACCGGCATGGGGTCCGACATTCCCAGAACGCCGGACCCCCATGCCCGCAGTGCCGAGGGGTCCAGCATTCCCAGCACGCTATGAGGAAACCCGGGGAGGGGCTACCTACCGTTCGCTGAAGCCATGGGCTACGGCGCCTGTCACTTCGCCGCGCCCGCTTCCGAGGTCCTCAGCGACCAGTAGGGTGTAGGGGGCCAATCGAGTTCAAGATYTGTCAGGCCCCGTCGTCGCACAACACTCTTCAGCAATTAGGGAGAGTACGATAGAATACTTAATATTTAAATAAGATAAATGAAATAAATAAGAATAATAAATAAATAAATAAAAACTAGCAAAACTGTGACTCTCTCTCCATCCCTCTATCAGTTCTTGTCCTTCTCTCTCTGCGTGTGCCTGCTCTCTCTCTCTCTCTCTCTCTCTCTCTCTCTCTCTCTCTCTCTCTCTCTCTCTCTC